ATCTTTTTTAGACGATCCCTATTATAATTTTATATATTTAAAGATTTTTTTGACAGATAAAAGCTTCTTTTATAACTTTTACAAAGAAAAACACATCTTTTTATAATAAAAAAAATATAATGATTCAACGAATCATTGCTGCCGCTTCCTATAATTTAAACTTAAGAAAACTTAAAACTATTAAAGTATTCGAACCGATTTGTCAATTATTAATTATGCATAATATAATATCAATTAAAATAATTAAAATAAAATAAAAAACTTTCCCCGATATTTTAAAATAAAAGAAAAGGTTTGAAAAATCTTCCAAAAAAATGCAGAAACTAACTTTTTCAGGTAATTTAATCACGTTTGAAAGGTCTGTTTTATGTGGGTAAGGTCATCGCCTCGCTTGCCATTTTATCCAAATTTATTCTATATCCCGTCTTTTTCACCTGGTATAATAGGGAGCCATCATTTCTCATCAAGATACAATTATTCATCCACGCTTATCACATTTCTCGTTTATTGGAGTTATTTATTGACCAACGAAAATTTTTGGTAAAAAATATGTCAATTTTATTACCTATTTATATTCATATTACTATTATGTAAATTTACTACCCCTTACCAATCATATTATTTTATTATTTTTTTTAAAAAACGATATACAGTCAAAATATTACTCGTTGAGATTATATCGATACTCTATATTTTGTATATATTATATAATTTCTTTTTTAGCTTTTATAAACTAATAAGACAAAATAATAAAAACAATTTAACTCTGATATAAAAACCTTAATTAAAATTTTAATATTAGATTTTATATTTTAAAATATTTAAGGGAGTATATATAACGATTATTTAATATTTTACACAAAATATAAATAAGGTTGGCATATATTTTCATCAGTTTTTATGATCAAGTATGTATAAATTTTATTTTTTTATAATAACTTCATTCCATGCCACAAAATATAATTAAAATTTATATTTATTTCGTCACAATTAGGAATTGGAGGAATTAAAAAGTTTTTTTGCATAAACACCAATAAATAAGATATTTATGTAACTTTATAAATCATTTTTTATAGATAGATTAAATAGTAAATATTAACTAAAAAAAAGGGAGGGGGGGGGGGGTAAATAGTAATCCAGCAATAAAAAATAATTAGATTTAATTTATACCCTCATTTTTTTTATAATCTTAATCTTAAAGTTGTCCATTATTTTGAATTGATTCTGCTCATGTTAATATAACTTAGAAATATTTTCTTAATGTTATTACATAACAAATTAAATTTATACTAATATTTTTTACTAACTATTGTGATTTATATTTATTTTCATAACTAAACCCAATTAAATTTGCCTTTTCAAATTTTCATTTTTTTTAAAAGAGAAAATGCACATTATATTATGACATTTATAGATTTTAGGCTCTATAGAGGACCGAATAATTAAATCTCAAATTTCTAAGGTTATAAAAAAAAACTAAACAATAAAAAATTGGTCCATTCATCCTATCCTAAACTAACATTTTTTTTTTATTAAAAAATTAAAATTAAAAAAACAATATAATATAATATTTTCAGACCTCTTGATATTATTTTTTAAATGTACATCATCAAAAAGACTGACATTTAAGAATTTTTGAAAATATTTTTGGAAAGGAAAATATTTGGAAATAGAAATGAAATTATTATTTGTAAATAAAAACTACTTTATTTAAAATATTAATTATATTAGAATTCCATTTATACCATACTATTCAAGATAGGGGTATGACTTATATTTAGCTTTGGGTCATGAAAATCTATGTTCCTTTTCCTACTTCTTTTCCTTCTTTCCTCACGTTTCAATTTAAAAAAGCAATCTAAGTATAATCGTTTTCCTATAATTTAACAAAAAAAATGCAAATTAGCAAAAACATACTAATAGAAAATCTAAAAAATTAAAAAGTTTGAAAAATATCTAAAACTTTTTTTGAAAATTTTATTTATAACATTTTTTAAATTATTAAAGTAATCAAACAGTAATATATTTAATAAATTAAATTAAAAATTTTTCTCAAGATACAAGAAATAAATAATGATAAAAATAGAAAACCACCAGGAAATAAATTTTAAAAGCGGTAAAATGTTCGGGAACGTTATCAGCAGAGTTGTGAACCAACCTAAACCCGGAGTATTGAACCCGGGTTCCTATAAATTATATCTAAACCTGAATCAACTCAGAAATTGATTGGTTAATTTAGAAACCCTAACCTAATTATATGTTTGAATAATGGTTCAAAACGGGTTCAATGCCTTTTATACTAAAAATAAATATAACAAGGGCGGACTGGTGATGCGATACCCTTCGGGCAAATTTTTATTCCCATTTTGTGGACCTTTGGCCGACTTTTGGTTTGCCATCTGCCGGATCCCCCTCAAAGGCTTATTTTTATTGCAGGATTTTATTTTCTCTTATATTTTTTGGAAAATACATGTCAAAACAATGGATTAGAAGTTATATTATATTGTATTGTATATTATATTTTTGATAAAGAAAATAAAAATGGGATTAGTATGACATATTATTTATTTTATATATTTTTCTAAATTTGTTAACTAAATTACTGAAAAAGTTTGCTAATATGTTTTTAAATTTTAAAAATATATTATTTCTTTTTAATAACTAATAAGCTAAAAGAAAGTAAGAAGATTTTACTAAAAAAGGATGTCATCTGGGAACAGTTATGATAAATATTGGTTATTATTTAATTAAATTTGCTTCAATTGCATTTTAAGAGTGTCGACTTATGATCCAATCAAAAAAACAAAAATAATTTTCGTTAAAAACAATTGACACAGTAGGGGAGACTGAAGTTAGGTAAACCCCGAGGCTTAGCAAACCACTTTATCTCATTTTAAAATTAAATACACCAGTAGGTTAAGATTTTATCCATAATATAGTTTTGATTAGTTTACATCTATAAACAAAAAATCTTTAATTATTAAAAATTTTATTTAAGAAATAAAATTTTGATAAAGTTTTCAAAAAATTTTTACATGACAGAATTTTAATTTTTATTAAAATATATAATTATTTATATGTAAATTAAATTTTATAGCAAAGTTTAAACACTCTTCTATAATTTGGGAAAGTTTTATGGGTATATTTATTATATCTATATATTATTTCAATCATAATTTGTCAATTTAGAGCTAGCGGGGCTCACTAAACCATACATGTCAATTATGGCAGTTAATAAAGAAAACAATTTCAAAATTATTGAAAAGGCAATTTCATGGCTGTTTTATGATTAGTATTTAGGATATATGCTAAGAAATCATAATCTCTCCTTGAGATCCTTATTTTTTTATGTCCAAAATGTTTATTAAATTTAAAATTAAGTATCAAATTTTATATATAATTAGTCTCAATTTATAAGTATTATGATATTTTGAACAATAAGACAATAAAATTATTCTAAACGTATGATTATTAATAAATAAAAATGCATTATAATTTATTATGGCCTAAAAAACCAATGTTTTAGGAAGCCTCTTGAGTGGTTTACCTCACCCCGCTATTGGGGCTTGTTAGACAAAATTTTCACTTTTACAAAAAATAAAATTTAAAAGAAAGGATTAAATTCTTAAAATATTTTATAGGCACCTTTATAGAGTATAGGTTTAGATATCTAATCATATATTATTTTTTATATTATCTAAAAAGAAAGCTATAGCCAATTTTGTAAAAATTGGTTCGATTAACCCTAGATTAGCGAGAATAATTATTTGAAACTTAAAAATCAATTTAGGTTTGAATAAAATCTAGTGCTGTAAACATTACTTTAAAAAGAAACGCGTTGCTCGTTACGTTTAAAAAATGGAACGAGTTATCATTACTTAAAAAAATTACTAAATATAAATATATAAATTTTCTTTTTATTTATTGTTTTTTCCCATAGATAATAAAAATAAAATTTCTTAAACCTAACCCTAACAAAAATAAAATATTATAAGATAAGTTTTTTTGAAATAATTTTTTATTTATTTTTAACAATTGATTTTCAAAATTTTGATCAAATAAACAAGAACTCTTAGTGCTCAACATAGCTTTCGATGAGCTAAGCACAAGCTCAGCTTGTGCAGAAGATGGGAGGGTTGTATTTTATTTAATTATTAAAAAATTTAATTGGGGAAATTTATTAGAAATATTTTAAAAAATGATCTTTAATTTAAAAACAAAATATTAGACCCTCTTCACTAGTTCATTCAGATCCTCATCAATTTTTTTTTATTATCAGAGTTTAATCTGAATTCATACTTCTACCTTCATAGTTTTAGATTTACGGTGCTAGACATCGAGGTTTTAAATTAGGGCACAATTTATACTTACAAAGTGTAGACTTGATGCCCTCAATCTTCTATACTTGCATAAAAAGCCAGGGCAGATTTAAATTATTTTCATCTGAAGAAATAAATACTATTGACATATATTTTTTAAAAGAAAAATTAGAATAAGAAAATATAAATGAGATGTACCATTTACACGGCCTGGCCCAGGCTTTATATTTTCAGACCCAACCCGGATTTTTTTAAAAAAAAATTTTATGCCAGGCCCGAATTTATTTTAATAATATTTATTTTTAATTTTCACAGATAATAATGATGATCTATAATATTTTGGTAAAATATTTAGCCCGACCCGGGTATTTTTTTAAAGTGCCTGCAGGTCTCTGTTAATATTGATTAGACTATCAATATTGACTGTATAAAATTCATCAACAAAAAATATAATAAATAAAATGAAGAATTTTGGTAGTTGATCTGAATTAAAAACTCGACTTAAATTATTTATAAAATTAAAAAAAATATAATATATATAATAAATAAAATAAATTTTCCCAATATTTTTTTTTAAAAAAAAATAAGTAACAAGTAACGTTTTTCATTACCGTTATTCGAAAAAAAGAAAAGGTATTTATTTTTAGAAAATATCATATTCAAAATATTGATTATTTGGTCAAACATTCCTCAATTCTATAAAGATCTAAGGATTAATAAGTCTTTCATATCTACATTCATGGAAATATATTCATTTTTTCCCAATTATTCTATAATAATGATAATTCACATTCCATGACAATATTTTCAGATGTAATATTTGATGGGTCAATAGTTTCTTAATTTTAATAAATAGTAATTTCTGATCATTATTCAAAATTTTGTCATCCAATATTATTGCCTTTGATTAGTAGACCTGAAATTGTCAATGCTCGTTATAATCTCGGGCTCAAGGACTTTTCAAGATTGTCATTTAAATATAATTGAGGGGATAGAGGAGTAGTTTTTGATTTGAATTTCTTTTTTACTAATTTTAATTTGGTAGGAGGAAATAAGGGATAAAATTTTAGAGGGGGGGGGGGGGGTAATATCGTAATTGGCTTAGGGGAGTGGGGTGTAGAAGTTCCTGCACAGATTTTTTATTACCTCGGTCTATAATTTTAGAAAAAAATATTTATAGAAATATTTTCTATTAATTTTCAATGTAAAATTAAAATGAATGTATAAATATAACGAAAATCAATATTTATTATATTATTGTATTATATCATAATTTAACTAATTAAAATTATTGCAAACCTTACGCAGTCCAAAATAATGAACTTAAGACATTTAGATAAATATTTTATCTGAGCCCTCCATTGAATTTATTTTTATATCCGATTCAGGCTATTTATTAAAATTATGTTGTACCAACTAGGGCTTGGAACCAATACTAAAAACCTTAGATAAAAGAAATATTATATGGTATTGAGTCTAAAATATTAGTATTAGTTTAAACAATATTTTCTATTTCTTGTATTGGTATTGGTTTATATTGGTTGGTTTAAATTCAAATTACTAATTAAAAAAATAGAAATAGTGATTTAAAAAACCCGTAATTTCTAGTTCTAAATAAACATGGAAAAAAATCATGAAGCATTAAACATAAAAACAGGACTAAGAACCAACTCCCAAAATTTTACTGAATCCAAATTCTTTTTTTAAACTAGGAATTTATTAATTGATGTGAATATAAAAAAATTCTGATTTAATCATAAATTTTTTGTATCAACAAACTTAACCAAACCAATCAAATAATAAACGTATTGATTTTGAAACTTTTTATTTAGCACAAAAAAAGATAGCAAAATGAGTATACTCTAAAATATAACATAATGTCTATTTATAAAAAATACAGTGAAAAAGATTAAATTTAATGTAAGGGAAAATAATTTTATGGGCAAGCTTGGATAGTATGTTCATCTAGTGAACAACGATGGTCTATTATAGCATACCGTCCTTCTAAAAACGCCCTTTCATAGCTAGCTGGAATTGCAAGATAATCCCTGGCAATTTTCAATAATATTGGATATCTATTTTGATTTAATTTCCACCAGTCTATTGGATTTAAATCACTAGAAAGTGACTTCATCCACATATTTGCTTATTTCTAAGCTATTATATTGTTATGACTATGTTTCTTTATGTATTTTATTATAAAAGAACAATTTTTCGGATTTTGTTTATTAAAATTATAGTATTTATCAAGTTTTGCTAAGGCAGTTAAAGAAGCCCTCTTTAAATTAGCATTAGGAATATGTAACTCTCAACATGCTCAAAAGTGCTGGAATATAAAGGAATGATAGTTGAAACTTATGGAGTATTTGCACATGAGGCCATCTCTGTAGCGAAATTATATGGTTACAGAAATTCTCGATATATTTCTATATTATTCCAGGCTAATGCACTAATCAGGCGCGTAACCAATGGGGGGGAAAGGGGGAAATTTTACCCCCCCCCCCATTTCTAATTTGACTATTTCCCTAAATATCAACTTAAGCTAATAAAAATCCCCCTCACCCCCCCCCCCCCTATGCCCCGTCAAATTTTTTTAATATCAAGCAGAGTTTATCCTTACTGCTAGTTGCATTAATAAATTATTTTCCTATAGCTCACCACTATGTTGAAATTTACAAAAATCAAATTTCTATTTGGTTCAAGTTATTGATTTGGAGGAAAATGTGAACAGGAAGAATGAATATTTTATTTATATAGAAGTTGAATCAAAACTAAATCTTATAGAATATTATAAAATATCCAATTTCATCCCATTCTTAGATACTTTTTTTTCGCAAATTAAAGTACGGTTTTTAGATAAAAAACAAGTCTTTGGTAATCTTCAAATTTTATTACCTAAAGACTCTTCTTCGTTTTCTGATGCCATTATTGGTAAAATTAAATATTTCAAAATTTTATTCCTATGATATTGATACTGAAATCAATTTAATCAGTGAATTCGAATTAAATATTTACTACGTATATTATTTTACCTGAGCATGCTATTGATGCGCTTAATCGGTATAAGTTAACCTTGGCTCAATTTCCAAATATTTTGAAGGTATTTAATATTCTTGCATATTTGCCTATTACAACATATACGAATGAAAGGACCTTTTTCAATTGAGAAGGTTGAAAACTTATAGAAAATACTACTTCCGAATCTCGGCTAAATGAGTTAGCTCTGTTAAATATCCACAGAGATTTGATTCCAACGAGAAACAAAATTCTTGATTAATTGGCAAATTTCCCACGAAAATTGAAAATCGCATTATAATTCTAGTATTTAAGAAATTTTTTGTATAATATCATATTTGATAATAAGTTATAAAAACTTGTTCTTTAAAAAATTTTCTAGTCAATATTTTATACACACTACAATTAGTATTTTCAATAGAATTTTTTTTATTCTATTTATATTATATGAGAATTTAAGTTGAAACTAGTTTTTAAGCCAATTTTATAAAAAAATTGACACTAAACTTTATTTCAATTTTATATTTTTAAAATAAATTTATTTATGATATACCTAACTTAAAATAAAAATTGGGTTATATATAACCTTTATTTCTTCTTTAAATTTTCATAAGCGCGAGTCTGTAAATAAAAGCTAAAAATATTAATAATAATTTAAAAGAATAGCTCAAAGATATGACCCGGCCGAAGGTGGAATAAAAGCTAGGGCAAAGCCCCCCCCCCAAAAAAAAAAATAAATAACCCCCTATAGGAAAATCCTGGATACGCCACTGGCACTAATATAATTTTCTTCATTGGTATTTTATAAATGATTGGTATATGTTGTCAAATAGGGTTTGAGCTATATTGCCCTTTCAAACATTTGGTATGTTGAATTTCAACGTGTTAGTATATCCAAAATTGGGTGAAGAAATTTTAAGGTTGGATTTTTTTCAAGAAATAATTTTTTGAGTTTATTAAATTTAGATATAGAAATTTTAAAAATTTTCTTATTTTTTTAAAAGTTTTATTCAGAGACCTGCAGAGGTACCATTTGTACGGCCCTCCCAGGTTTAAAAATTTTAGGCCCGGCCCAGCCTGGATTTTTAAAAAATTTTTTTTAGGCCCGGCTCGGAATATTTTAAAATTATATTTGACCTAGTATATACAAAAAATTCATTATTTCGTATTTTATCATATTTTTCGGCGAGTATATCATTTAATAAGCAAGTATATTATATTTTATTTTATTTTTTCTAAACAGATATTTAGTATATTACAAATTGATACTATAAAAAATTTGTGTAAATTTTGAGAATATACTATGTATTTATAAAAAAAATAAAAATGATTATTTAATTAATAAAAAATATAACATATATTATATAATAATGTATTTAATCTTTTGCGTATTTATTCCATGGCAGGAAAACTATAATTTTATTATGTAATAGATACTATGAGTGTTAGCTAGTGTTAACTTTCACCAAACATTATATTAATCATAACTGTATATAATCATTATAACCATATCTAATTGACGAATATAATAATTCATGTTGTATAAAATTTTGGGTTTTTTTTAAAAAAAATTTTTCAGGCCCGGCCTGGGTATATTTTAAAAATTTAAATATGGCCGGGCCGGGCCTGCTGATCTCTGGTTTTTTTTAAGGGTTCCAAGGCGGCCCTAACAGCTAAATGTATAACATGGCAAAAACATATACACACATTATTTAAATGAAATTATTCTTTTGATTTATAATTTTTAGAAATGCTAAATTATTACTTGCATTGTCTAATGTAAAACAAAAAAAAATCAATTTCAAATTTTACTTTTAATACAGAATTAAAAATATTTTAAGTATTAGTAGAATTATGGGCTGATTTAAAAAAGAAATGAAATCTAATATGATTATTTAATTTAAAGTGATTATTTAATTTAAAGTGATTATCTTGTTAGATATTACAGATTTAGATTGTTAAAAGAGCTATGATAATGTTTCATAATTTTTTTTTAGTTTTTCTAGAAACTAATGTTAGTGAAAGGTTACAATATGCTATTAAATTTTTAAAAGTGATATCCTCTCAACCTTTGAAATAGCTAAGTTATTTATAAAAAAGTCTATAATTGAATTAATTATTATTAACTAAAAATGATTTTATTGTGCTAATTTTATTGTCAATTTTATTTGTTTGTTCACATTTCCTATATAATGTTGGGTGGATGGATTTAAAATGTATCCATAACCCTGATTGGGAAGAGATTTTTTTTTGCATTTATTACAAATAGCCTTCTTTTTGTTATCGCAACTCGTATAAAATTCCCACGTTTTATCGTCTTTTATTAGATATTGATGATTGTTCTTGTTCATTATCGTTATTAGTATCATCAGCATTATCTACATTTACTAACACTAGTTGGTCTTCATTCATTATAATATCCTAAATGAATAGATAAAAATTGATATCATGTAAAAACTAAAAAATTTACTTCCATAATAAAAATAAACTACAATTATAAATAACACCAATATTTATATCATACATAATACAGAGAAGTTACTATTTGCACTAAAGAAATATCGGATATAACAAGTTTAGAAAATTTAAAGAAAGTGAAAAAATATAACACGATTATTTATCCATTTTTAATATTTGTATTAGGCCTATTCAAAAATAATTCGAATATTCGATTCGACTTGAATAATTCGAATCTAATCGAATAATTACGAATATGAATAATAAATTATTTGTTTTATCTGAATACGAATAATCATTTATTCGATTCGAATAAAACGAATTATTTATAATATTTAATA